AAAGTCAATAACATAATGTGTGGCACAAGAGAAGTGTTCTTCAGGGACAACAGCCAGGTCCAGGCTGTAATGAGAATCTAGACTGTGGTGCAGAAGAGTCAGGATAAGCTGGAGCCCACTCTGATCTGGTCGGATGGACACTGGGGACATGGAGATGGGGGAACGAGGAGACAAAGGCATCTGCCTTAAGCTCTGTAGCGCAGCCCTGGCACCCACCTTGGGCCATGCCAGCACATCTCCTGGCAACTGCTGGAGGCGTCACCACTCTGTAGCAAGTTCACTTCTAACTGAGCAGTGACTGGGCCTTCAGCTTTTCCCTAACACTGTGGCAGGCTCTGTTTGCTCATGTGTATTCCACACTAAAGGTACCTGTCCTCCCACCTCCTGCCCCGGTCCGTAAAGCACTGAATTTTGATAATCCTTCTCCCACTAGCTACTCATGCTCCCATGGGTACTATTTAAGGATTTCTTTATTTCTGTCCCAGTGCAGAGGGCTGGCTTCCTGGCTCCATGGTATGGTTTGCCACATCCCAGAAGAGGGCCCCAGTGTCCTGACTTGCTCTTGGGTGTACCAATTTCCTTTAATAAGGACTTGACTTTTAATTTTGTGATTAAGAGAAGACTTAATGTGCAGGATCTCCTCATAAACAATAATTGTGCTAAAGGGCAAATGACTGATACAAAATCTTTGGGGTAGGTTCGGATGGGTGGTGTGGAGACCAGGGAGATACTTGATTTTATGCCGAGTCTCTGCCTTTGATAGAGCTGACGCCATCTTATTGTTCAGTTTCTTGCTTCAAATTCAGATAACCTTCTGACATTGTGCATTGAAAGAAAATTGAATTACAAACCAGAAGGCACATCAATTTTTAGTTGTGTGACCCTGGGGAAAAAAGCCACATCACCACTCTGAGCCTTAGTTTCCTCATTTGCAAAATGGTAAGAGACAGTTGTGAGGGTCAAGTGGATCATATGGGTGAAAGTGCTTAGTAAATTCTAAAGCAATGGCAAATGTCACAGGCCGTAACAACATTTCTGTGAGCTAGAAGAGGGATCAGCCCTCTCTGACTTCCTCTCAGGGCTCACAGGTACTTGCACACATATTGGGTCATTTGATCTTCTCAAGGCCTCTGGGAGTTACTGTTATCTCTGTCTTACAGAGAAGGAAGCTGGAGTCAGATGAGGCCTTGAGGGCTTGTCAGACCAGCCCCTTCCCCAGACCTCCACTGACACCAGGAGATCAATGGCCATTTTGATCTGTTCAAACCGGGAAGCACAAATTCTTAACATAGAGAATCAACAATTTTCTTTAAAAACATCATCCCATTATAATTCCTCTGGAATAGTTTATTTCTCATGGGGCAAAAAATCTCATCAATTCAATGGTGACAAATGTTTCTGGTCTTAGATCTGAGACATTTTGACTTTTGATTAGAAGTCACGCTCTTCTAGAAAGAAATGAATTTTCCTCCTCTTTCAGTTTAACTCCCAACCACCACCCGGGTAGAATACATAGACCCATTCAGTGGCTGCAAACAATCATTTGCATTGTTTTCTGAAAAGTGCTAACATCCTTGGAGGGCAGGCAGCTGCAGGTCATTTTCCAAACACCCAGAATAATTGTAATGCCCTCAGCCGTTGTGGGACTATGAAGTGTGACCCTCCTATGAGCCACTAGTTAGGGTTTGACTATTAGCTGTGCTCAGGATTCCAGGGAGGAGCCACATAGTTCCTGGGAGCCTAGCCTGCCTCACCATGGCTCTGAGCACTGAGGAGCTCTGCTGTTCCCAAAAGCTCTCACCCAGGTAGAATGGTTCCCGTGCATGGGCCTGGACTGGCCTGCACATCAGCTCCTGGAAACAAGCTCATCTTTCTCAATAGCACTATGGGGCAAAGTGACAAGAGGGTGCTTGGATGGGAGGTGTCAAAGCTTCCCTGGCTGTAAAGCAGACCTTCTAAGCTCCCTCCATCACGGCACAGTCTGCTGGGCACCTGTCTGGCCCAACACTTTCTGCACTGGCTGCTTGACCTGGTTTCCTCCTGGCCATGAGGACGGGATAAACATTCCCAGATACAAGGACACTGTGATGGCTCCGTGCACCAGCCTTCTATCTACTTTCCTTTTAGGGAGTACGTTAGCTATCTTCAGAGTCTGGTATGAATGGAGGTTTGGATGTTGGTCTGTGGCAATTGTTTACAAACACAGAGGACCCCATGAGCACAACAGTGACACCATCTGCAAAATTGGACAGCAGAGAAGATCGGAAACCTGAGAGCAGATCCAAATAGTCCGAATGAGCAAAAGCGCCAGGGCAAGATGCATCCCATGAAATCTGCTCCTACTGGCCTCCACAGCCAACAGGAGTGAGGATCCGGGGCCCCCCAGGGAGGAGAAAAAGACCGAGGGCAAACTCCCCACCCCATCCCAGTGATGGCAGCAGAAGGGAGGGGGTGGACAGTTGGGGTGGGGGTCTCTTGGTGGGCTTCTATGCCCCCACCCCTGCCAGCTCGCTCCCTGCATACCACACACACAGACTTCCAGCCGCGCATCCCTTGCAGTTCTCTTCTGCACAGCAGAACCAAGTTTCCCTCCCTGAGCACTGGCTCTGGGTGGCTGCTCAACAGCACCACTCTAAGCTGAGCCGCTGCTCTGGCCAGACCTGCTGCTGGCTGGGATGGAACAGCTGGCTTCCACGCACACACTGCACACACCGTGCTCAGCATACGCCCAGCCCATCTAAGTGGCCAAGATGTGGAGGAGGTCTTGACATCTCATGGCTCCTCCTTGTTCTTAACGCAGAGCACAACTGGGGAGGGAGCCCGGCAGTGCATGAGCTCCCAGCAGACTGGGCTGCGCTTTGCATGTGCTATTTCCATTCACCCTCTGGTGTCTGGCTGCTGCTTACACCAGGATGTTCAAAGTACTTAAGAAAACAAGTGTCTCCCTAGTCCTCAAACCCAGAGGGGTTCAGCTGGAGAAGCTCAGGCATTGGCTGGCCGACAACCATCTGCAGGGCTCCCCGAGGCTCAGAGGCACCAACCCTGGGACTCCCAGAGCCCTTCTTGTTCTGTTTCTCATGTGTGTTTTGAGCACTGAGTAGGGATCCAGGAATAGGGGCTCTGCCAGAGGAGTGTGGGCAAGTGGTTTAACCACTCTGAGCCTCTGTTTCCTCTTCTGTACAGCAGGAGTGACAACCCTGGATGGAAAGGAATGGTAGCATGAGGCACAGAGGAAACAAATGCCCAATATCCCAACCCAGGATGGGCATTTGTGGCCCAGGGTAGGACTTGACCACTTCTCATTTGCCCATTTGATTCAAGCTGGGTCCAGATGTGCTTGGATAGAGAACATTTCTCAGGATCATTCTATAAAAGGAATCAAGACAAACTGGAGTCAGATCAAAACAGGTTAGTTCTGGGAACTGTGCCCACAGCAGTGTGAACACTGGGTGAGATTCGAGGTAGGGAAATGAGCTTAGTTATGAAAGGGCTTAGTCACTTATCCCAGCACCCTGGAACTTCTGAATAACTCTGAGAAACAGGCAGAACTAGGCTTCATGAATTCCATCTTGGAGATAAAGATACTGAGGGCCAGAGAGGTTATGAAGTTCAAGTGGAACAGAGTTACATGCCAGACCTCAATGTCTCTATCCCATGACTCTGGTTCTCAAGGCCCAGAGCACATGTATCTTTTGTGAAAGCCTTGGAGTCAAGTTTTTCCTCCAGCGTGAGGTTCGTTCTGGAAGCTTCCTAATGAGCACTATCTACATCCATGTCGCTGTGTGACATCTGTGTTTGTTTTGGGGAAGCTAGACTGTTGGCCTTGATTCTATTGCTTGGTCAGGTCTTTTGAACAGGGAATAAATAGGAAGCAGGTGTTTTGGGTCTCCAGATTCAGTTATCTAGAGGTGACATTTTAGCACAGCAGGTAAACTGGGACCTAAGATATTTGACTTTATTTGTTTGTACTTGAAGTGTTTGGAGGGCTTTGTTTTCTGACTTGGGTTGGGCAGGGAGGTGGTGGCATTTCTACAAGGGATTGGATTCTGAGAAGTTTTGCTTCACAATGAACAAACCATTCTCCCTTCCACAAAGCAAAACTGACCGGGGGCCCTGTTGCCAGATTTTCATACTGAAATTTTACAGGTGAAATTACTCCATTTTTAAATGTTAGCTTCTAATTCCAAACTGGTTACAATATTACACAAGCCAAACAAACACCAACAGCTTCTTCAGTCACCAGTCAGCAACCTTTGAATGAAGAGGGACCCGGGGAAGCAAGTAGATATTTTTCAGTTGCTAAGACCACAAGGAAATATTTAAAAAGAATAAATATATTCTGAGCTTGCCTTAGACATCGTATGGTTGCTGTGAAAAGAAAACCTACTGGAAGGTTCTTATGCTGACATCAGTCTCCAGTAAATGGGAGTCATTCAAAGATACCAGGGGAATGAATTAATGAAGGGTTAAACACCAAAGACTTTTTCACTCAGAAAAACATTCAATCTCTGTTGAACTTCCTTGTCCCCTGTCCTATCTGCCCTGGTGTCCTGTAGGCTGGTGCCCAAAGGTCCTGGAAATGAATGGAAGTGACATTTGCCCAAGTATCCCCTATGTGTCTGCTTCGACCCAGCCTCCCACACATTTGTAAGGCTCTTGTGACAGAAGGCTGTGAGGCCAGGCCCGTAGCAGGATGCTGGGGCACAGCCAGAATTCTGAAAAGGGCGGCCAGGCTGGTGACAGAGCACCCACATTTTGCTGTATTCATTTTCCTTCCAAAGGCTCACAAAGCAGTGGGTGCTCCCAGCCAGTCCAGAGAGCTGATCCACCTGCAGGAGCAGCAGGCAGGATGCACGCAGGGCCACTGGCAGGTGCAGAGTTGGGAATCTGTATGGTTAGATTGGAACCCCTGTAGAACTGGGCCCAATGGGACACTGAGCTCCTGACAGGGCCCCCTGTACTGTTGCAGCAGGAGGGGAATGTCAGAGCGCCGTCCTCACCTTAGACCAGTCCCCCGTCTTCCACTCATAGCAGCCTGAGTAGTCCTCACATGCCTCCTCGGCTTTCGGCCTTGTGGATGCATCGCATTTCCCTTGTGAGTTGGTGCACGTCACAGTTCGCTTCCGTGTCCCTTTACCACAGTTGGCAGAGCACTGCAAGATACCATGCGAATATTTAATCCAGACCAATTCAGTTTAAGTCCATCAACATCTAAGAAGTCCCTACTCTGTGCCAGACCTGGAATGGGGACAGGAAGATGAAGATGCTGTTTCTATCCTCAAAAAGTGCAGGGTCTTCAGTCTTAGGCACCTAGTACTGGCTGGGACCCCAGCTGGGTGGCTGGTGATGAAGGAGAGGCACAGAAGTCAGAAATTGCAAGAACTTGGGGTTCCCAGAAGGTCAAATGAGGGGAATGGAATTTAGTGGCCAGCATCAGCTCCAAAAGACCAAGGGATTGTGCGAGTTCAAAGGGCAAATGTGTGCAGGCTCAGAGGACGAGCAGGAGACAAGCCATGCTGTAAGGCAAGGCCCTGGCAGCATGAGGTCTAAGGCCACTGGCTCCTTCTACACATGGCAAAGACCCTGGCGCAGGAAAGAGAAGTAGGAGACAGACAAGAAAAGCCACAGGTGACTCTTTTGTAAAGCAGGTGTCCCTTGCTGACGGTTCTAATGGATATTTAAGTGTGGACACCAAACGTGGTAACACAAGAGTGTTCCTGGCGGTAGCTTGCTTATTTCCTGGGAGACAGTGTGGGGAGGGCCTGAGGGTGATGGGTGATATGCAAGCCTTCAGCTCAAGACTGCCCCCATTTCCTCCAGCAGAAAGGAGTGAGGACAAGATGTCAGGGTGTGGAGGGGGGAGCAGCTCTGGGATGAGCCTTCAGCCTGCTCCTGGCATGCTCCACGGTGGGGCGGGATGGTGCACTGGCTGGCAGTAGCACTTATGACTCTCCACAAATAAAGTGGAAGGAAGTCCCAGCAAAGTTGACCTGTCACCTTGGGGAGACATAACTGCCAAGTATGATGAGGTGGTCGGCAAGCAGAAGGGACGTAGTCTGCAGACCAGGGAGCTATCCCTCCGATTTTCTGTGCGTGGACCAGTGCGTAGTCTCCCTGAAAAGCCCTGTCCCCACTATTAATGCAGACACCTAACTCAGGGAGATGGTGGGCTGCAGGCTGGATTCTGCTAAAGAAACTTCATACTTGTTCAGTTTGCCAAGGCTACCGTAGCAACTTTCTTAAGCGACAACTTTTAAAAAGTTCCATTGCGTCTGCTAACATATAAGTACATGAAGAGCAGACATTATTCTTGATATTTCTGTTATTAGTATTTATTCTACAATATTACCTACCTTTTTGTTACGAATTTAATATAGCGCTTGCTCGCTCTCTCGCACGCTCTCTCTCTCTCTCTGAAGCTGCCATGGGGTTTTGAGAGTAATTTAGACTGGCTTGTTTTAGAAAGAATATACAAGCTTCAGAACTGGCTGGGCTGTCACCTGGGGGAGCTGGCAGAACACACACACTTGGATCGGTGTTGGGGAGAAGCACTGGTTTAAAGGGACCTCTGGTGCAAGGAGCCAGGCTGGTTTTGCACACAGGACCTCTTGGGCCAGGAGGGCTGCCTCAGGGAGCCCTGGGCCACTGCAGTGAAGGACTAGCCCCTGTTTCTCTGTGTGACAATGTTTTCTGACTATTTCAGCAACTCTGTCCTCACCATTTGACACATGGGCTCCCCTGGCCCCAGTGTCCACATGACTTGCTTCTTGGCAACTAATAGGCCACTCACCATTCCTGCCCCTTCAGTCCTGCAGCTTCTTACTCTGTTTCTTGCCTCTTTACCTTGAATTTCAAGCACTGAGTGTCCAAACAATTTCTCTAGCAAACCTGGCTTTGGCCCCTTAGTCTGACTAATATCCCACTCCCTGGGGGGCCTCTGGCCTGGTGGAAGGACAGTGAGGTAGGCGGATGCCACCTCTAAAGGGACCTAGGAGGGTGAAGCTCAGCCTCTCTTTCTGCTTCCCATTGAGGATGGAGCCTAGAAACTGAAGATAGGAGGAATCCATTTATTACCTTTGGCATCTTTCTGCAAATCTGATTCTCCAAATGAGGATGGGAAGGAGCTGGGGGAGGGAGTATTTAGTAAGGGTGATCAATGAAGGTGGTTGAATAAGAGCCATCATGTCAATAAAAACTCTCCCACAAGAAATGAAAGCCAGCTTCTGGCCAGGGCTGGAGGGGCTTCACCCCACAGTGAAGGGGCAGAAATACCAGCATCATAAGGAACTTGTGGAGGAAGGATGTGATTCCACGTCACATGTTAAGAAAGCAGCATTTTGCTTGCATGGGGCTGGGCCAGAATGAGATGGATTGGTGCAGACACTAGTGCAGGATTAGGATGGGGCATTAATGTAGAGATGATCATAAAGAAATTCCTTTAAGCCTTGCTCTAGTTGTCTCACCTTTCCCAGATATGGTGGTCTTCAGTGCTTTAATAACTGATAACTCCAGGCTTGGTTCTTTTGGTAAAGAGGCCTTTTTCCCCACATAAGACTCTGAGTGGAAGATTTATTTTAATCTTATCAATCAGATTAAAGCATAAATCTTGCTTGAATTAGGAGCTGGGTGGTCAAAGCCCTAAGGCTCATCTGGGGTTGGGGAAAGGAACTGTGGCTGTGTGCCTGTCTCCATCCTGGCAGCAAATATGAAAAAAAAAATTTTCAGCCAGGCATGGTGGCTCACACCTGTAATCCTAGCTGCTTGAGAGGCTGAAGCAGGAGGATTGCAAGTTTGAAGCCAACCTGGGCAACTTAGCAAGATCCTATCTCAGAATTCTGAAAAGGGTTGGGAATGTAGCTCAGTGGTAGAATATAATCCCCAATAGGGCCAACAAAGAAAATTTTTCTTGATGTTAACTTTACAAACCTAAGTATATATAAAGAAAAAAATTAAGCTCTTTTTCCTAAAATATTATAAAGTAGGGGTTAAGGGCAAAGGTCTTTAAATGAGTATATTTCAAGATTGGTCTGAAGATTAAACTCAGTTTTAGAGCAGCCAATGGTAGACTTCTCCTTCATTAAAAATGGGCTGAATACTTTTTTATTCAAAATAAATTCCGACTGTTTGGCAATCAAAGGAACTTTAAAAATATTTTCCACACTGAAGACTGTCTTGGATCTAGCCTCTTTGAATTTCATAGACCACTTTTGGTGGAAGACCTGAGGGAAGGTTGCCCTTTATTTAGCTATTTTTTGTTTGTTTTACAGCCAAACAATCAAAAGCATTAAGGCAAAGTCAATGCAAAGCTTTGCAAGATGACATCCTTAAAGATAAAATGGAATTTCCAGGACCAACTTTCAAAGTGAAAACTTAAGGCTTAATTGACCTCTTTCCAAAATGTTTTATGGTGTGAGATTTGTAACTCCAACTTGCATACCAAAAGCTGTCCCTCCCAGCATCTAACTCTCACAATCTACAAAACTGCTGTGGCATGAAAGGAAAGTCTTTGAAACCAGCTTCCCAACTTGACCACACTAGAGCTCAAACACGCCCAAAGGAGAATTAAAAGGTCAATTGGGGTGTGTGTGTGTGTGTCTATTTATTTATCTTTAGGTGGGAATTGTCATAAGAAATGAAACAAATAGTACTTTCACTGTGATGCCATGTGCATCATCACAAACATGTTGTCCATGTTTTCTTGAAGCCATGTTGTTATCTCAAATGGAATTTAAGAATATATGGGCTAGAACACAGCTTGGAGCTTCTCTGGAGCAGATAAAGACCATGACACCTGGAGATGTATCACAAACACCACGAAGAGAAAAGTACCACACTACATCCTGTGGACGAGGCCTGGAGGCTCTTGTGGTGGTTTCAGTCCCAGCCACAAGTGCAGTCCCTCACCTGTGACCACTCTGATGCCTCCCAGATGGACAGGCAGTCCTGGCCTTCGCAGCTCTGCACTGGTGTTGGTCGGGGGCTTGGGCAGTAGAGGGGCCGTGTGGTGACATGTGTGCCATTCTGTAGCTGGAATACACAGGTCACCTCCCGATGCTGGATGCCCTTCTCACAGGTGGCTGAGCAGGGGCTCCATGGGCCTGCCACCCACCTGGCCAGGGGGGAAAAGACAGGGAGTGTTATAGTTTGGATGTGAGGTGTCCCCCGAAAGCTCACGAGAGACAGTGCAAGAAGGTTCAGAGGAGAAATGCTTGGGCTGTGAGAGTCTTAACCCAATAAGTGAATTAATACCCTGATAGATGTTCTGCCTCACCTTAAACCCCAGGATTGGAGCTGGCCTTCTCTGGACTAAGACCTCTGAAACTGTGAGCCCTTGAATAAATCTTTCCTCCTTTTCAATTGTTCTGGTCACGTCCTCCAGTCATAGCAGTGAGAAGCTGACTAAAACAGGGGGTGTGTAATAGGGGAGAGAGGCTATCTCCCTCCACACCATGGAGAGACTTTCAGAAGGATCATGGAACATGTTTTATTCAATGGGGTGTGAGTGGGCAAGTACTGGCCACAAAGCTCCTGCTTTGAATGTGGTCATTAAGTTTGGCTCTGATTCTGTTTCTTGCCCTCTGCCATTATAACAGGACACTATTCTAAGGTACTGTGACCTTGGAGATGTTTGTTACTGCAGTACTTGCTAACTGATACAATCTTTGACAAAGGACTTTTCAGTCTCTCTGCATGAATCCACCAGAATAAGGTTCTCACTGCCTTAGGGACTGTGGAACCTCCAAAGTGGGTCTTTGAGGATGTCATCTTGAGGATGGCAGCGGGTAGCCATAGAGAAGGTGACTACTGAGGTCAGCACTTTAAAGCATTCTTCTAAAACTTCATCTATCTGCCCAATGCTTCAATGATCTGGGGTCTATACCTCTGTCAGCTTCAGGGTGTTGAAAAACTGACCAGTTTGGGAATTTCCTTTGGGGACACTAAAGGACTCTCTCCTTCTTGGTCCTCTGATGAGCTGTTAAGCTTTTCCCTTCCTCAAATACTTCTAGCTCCTGGGAGCTCAGCACTTGGCAAAAGTGCCTGGAACCACAGATGGCACATATGGACAGGTATTCCATTCCTTTTCATCAGAAAAAGTAGCCCTGGTTCCACAAAAAACAAACCTGATCATGCCATGCCATCACACTGTGCCACTGTACCCTTTAGAAACAGCTGAGTACCTCCTGGGGCCTTTGGGTGGGCACTGGGTGGTGCCAACTGGCCCTTCCTCTCTAGTTCCAGATCTTGAAGTTCCTCGGACCCACCAGTAAGTGGGAGGGACAGAGACAACAGTGCCTACTGTGGGGTGTGGTGGTGAGTGCAAGTGACATACTGCCATAAACTGCATGGCACACATTAGCTCCAGAACTTTAGTGAGGATTGCTGCCACTGTCTCCTGGGTAGGCGATGGTGAACTCCCAGGGCAGCACGCAAGTCTCCCATCTCAACACAAAAAGAATTGAAGTGACTCCTACACCTTTCTCCTTGTTCTGGTCTTCAGATTAAGATGGATTCTCAATCTCTCCATCCTAATTGTAATTTTCTAATCAGTCGCTGCTATTTTAAAATGAACAGAATGGCCCAGGTTTGGTCTGACAGCACCAGGAGAGGAGATGACCTCTTTAAATAGAGATGCTGTCTTTATCAGTGCCACCCACCTTTGCCCTATTTCTGTTTCTAAGCAGCCAGGTTACCCCTGTTACCTCTGTCCCACCTGCCTACTTACTTTTGCATCTCATAACCGCCCCCCCACCTCCCCAGTCAGATCACTTTTGTCTTACACATTTGTAGTTGAATTTTGAGAATATAAACGTCAGGCTTCAAGGTGAGACATGGGTGCTATTGTGTTGACTCTAAGTGTAAAAGAAGCTTTGAATTTGCTCCTGTCATCTGCATGTCCTGTGCTTCCTAGGATAAGCCTTAGAAGTAGGACCTTTATGTCCTACCCATGGGAATGTCACCTGCCCTGGGAGTGCACACCGCTGGCCACAGGATGCACTTCCATGGCTGGGCTCATGGCCAGGGCCTGTGCTGTAGTGCATGTGGCCAGTGACTCCCTGTCACAGGCAGGTCCCATATGAGACACACAGGGTGATGGAGGAATTGCTGGGCGAGGCTTAGCAGCCCTCCCTTGGATACCTCCTATACCTTCTGCCCCATCAGTGACTTGGATAATCACATCTGAGGGGAAAGAGAGTCCAAGGGCAAAGTGGAAGGAAGGAAGGGAATGTTGATGCCAGCTACGGCACAGGCAGACTTTGAAGATGGTATGCTAAGGGAAATAAGCCAAATGACACGATTCCACCCACACAAATTTGATGTGACCAAAGGACAAATGCCACATGATTCCACCTAATCAAGGAACCTGGAGAGAGAAAAAGTAGAAAGAATGGTGGGTGCCAGGGGCTGGGTGAGGTGAGGAGGGTTTTCTGTTTAATGGGTGCAGCATTTTGGTTTAGAGAGAGAAAAGAAATTCTAGAGGTGGACAGTGGTGATGGCTGCATAGTATATGCCTACAGTCTACACCACAGTGCCACAGACTTAAAAATGGTTAAGATGTTAACTTTAGTTATCTGCATTTCATCACAATTAAAAAGAAACAGGTAACTGCAATGAGCGGCTAGAAGTGGGTTGTAAGTGGGGGAAAAGCAAACAAGAGAAGTGTTTCCCATGTCCCAGGCAGCCAAAAACGAAACACAAGAGGAGACCAGTTTCCAGCTGTGTGCAGCAACTGGTACCCACAGTGCTTCTGCTGATGGTGCCCTTCGCACCTGAGATACTGGAGGGTCACGCTGGAGCTTGCACAGACGTTCTGCAGGTTACTTTAGCTGTTTTTCAGCTAGACTTTTTTGGCTCCTGTTCTCGACAAATACCCCATAGAGGCTTGGGGAGAAAATGGCTCTGTAAACTGCCCCACCCCTATCTTTTTTATCTTATTTTTTTTCTTTTTGGGTGGCTGAAAGAAACCATTTCACCTGAATGGTTGTGGGAGTCCCGTCTACAACCCTTGCACAACATCACTCAACTGAACATTACAACAAAATTGCATCCATTCCAAATCCTGTAATTAAAGAAAGGGATCGTAGTTTCATAAAGCAATTATATTATAATTTCAACTTAAATCTTATTGTTTTCACTTGTGTCTCCTAAAACCTTTAATGGCAACATTTACTAGACAAGTTTGAGTTAGCAAGTTTGATTTCAAGTTTGATTTCTTCTTAAGAGCCATGAAACTGTAATTCTTTAGGAAGGCATAGTTAACACTTCTCTAATTTGGGCTGTCTTTCCCTATCACTCTGAAGGAGTTAGAATGGAATTTCCTCCCTTTCTGTCCAAGTGACTTGGTTCCTGTGCCTAACAGGGTGAGTATCCCTATCCAAACTGCTGGAACCAGAAGTAGTTCAGATTTCTGATTGTTTGGGATTTTGGAATATTTGCATATAAATCACGAGACATCTTAGATATTGGATCCAAGTCCAAACATAAAATTCATTTGTTTCCCATACACCTTATTCACACAGCCTTAAGGTAATTTTATACAATATTTTGAGTGGACCTGGTTTTGACTTATACCCATCACATGAGATCAGGAATAAAAGTTTCCACTTGTGGCATCATGTTGATTCACAAAAAGTTTTGGATTCTGCACAGCATTTTGGATTTCAGATTTTTGGAGCAGGGATTCTGAGCCTGTATTTTGAGTTATAATATGCTAATGAGATATATTGGATAGCTCAGTGACCTTTGAGACACTATCTTCTCTATTTTTTCCCTGCTTAAAAAAATTGCCACAAACTTAATGGCTCAAAACAAAATTGATTTATTATCTTACAATTCTAGAGATCAGAAGACTGACTCAGATCTTGCTGGTTTAAAATCAAGGTATTCAGAAAGATTCTGGAGCTCAAAAATGAATTCAGCAAAGAAGCAGGATATAAAATTAATATCCACAAATCAATTGTGTTCCTATATTCCAATGATGAATCAGTTGAAAGAGAAATTAGGAAAACTATCCCATTCACAATAGCCTCAAAAAAAAAAAAAAAAGGGGGGGGGGGAGGGGG